CGTCGCCGAAAGCGCGCGAAATGTGACGTCTTTGGTCCTGGGCTTACTACTGGTCAGAGCCGCTAAAAGGTTCTTTTTAGTCGAAATGCAAAATATGAGTGGCGCGAGCCGTTTCAGTTATGTATAAAAGTAGTTATTGTTCATCATTTTAGATCAGAAAAGAGACAAATGCAGTTTAAAAAGTACGGGAACAAGAAATGGATGGATGGATGGATGGATGGACGAATCCGGCCGAGCCCTTTGGATCGGGCGGTAGCTTACGCCACCTAGCCATTTTGTTTTGCCATTTAAGCTTAGAATATTTAAATGTGAGAACTATATTCGCTCCGCACTGCAAAGAAAGTGAGGCTATAAAACCCTCTTGCCATCAGTTAATAAGAAAATACCTCGTTTTCTCTCGCTTTCTGGTACTATTCACTTAATCTGTGCTTGGTAATCTCTACCGTCTTGAAATCCACTCTTCCTTCACTGTCTCTAAAACCAAATGACTTTATTATATCTATGTTGTCTTCGCTAGGCACAGGGTGAAGCCCTTTACAGTAGAGTATGAAGTGCTCAGCCGTCTCGTCCTCCTCTCCACAAGCAGTGCACACTGTATCCATTTCCTGGTACTTCGCTCTGTATGTTCTGGTTCGCAGAACACCCGTCCTCGCCTCAAACAACAATGAGCTTCCCCTAGAATTGTCAGAAATGCTTTGTTTGGCAATAACTGTTTTGTTTAGTCTATAGCTTTCCAGTGCCGTCTTTGTCTGCATTCCCTCTAGCCACCGACCTCTTTCTGCGGCCTTAACTTTCTTCCGTAACTCCACTATAGCCCAAAAACTTTCCTCTTAATTTTCTAGTGCGCTGTCTCCACTTTGTGTCTATACTCCTCATGTATACATATCTGAAAACCTTTCGCGCCCATTGCTCCCCATCCATTTGCCTGAACCGATCCTCAAATTCTATCTTTCTCACCGCTTCCCTGCTCTCAAATGACGCCCATCCCATGTCTCCTTGTACTCCCTGGTTTGGCGTTTTGCAATGTGCCCCAAAGCCAGCCTACCTACTCCGCGCTGTTTTATTTCTAGTCTTGCATGCACTTCGGATTTCATGCATAGCACTGCTTTTCCAAAAGTCAAGCCAGGCACCATGACCCCCTTTCCAGATCTCTCTCACCACCTCATACCTGTTGTAATTCTAAAGTGCTCTGTTTCAATAAAGCTGCATTTCTGTTGCCCTTACCTATTATATACTTTTCATGCTCACTGAGATATTCTGCACCATCGCATATCCATACTCCTAGATACTTATATTTACTAGCTCTCTCAACTGTAATATTCTGTATCTTCAGCCTCTCAACTGTAATATTCTGTATCTTCAGCCTCTCAACTTCAGCATCGTTAAACATCATGACTGCTGATTTTTCACTACTGAATTCTAAACCTAATTCCTCTCCTTCCCTACCACAGATGCTCATTATTTCCTGCAACTCTGTCCTGTTGTTAGCCATTAGTACGATATCATCCGCATACATCAATCCCGGTAAGGATTGCTGAACTTTTTGTCCTAGCTTACTGTACGAAAGGTCGAATCCAAACCCACTCTTCTCTAGTCTCTGCTCCAATCCTCTCAGATACAACATAAACAGCAAAGGCGATAACGGGCACCCCTGCCTAAGGCCTCGTCTTATCTCTATTTTCCCCGTCGCCTTTCCTTCCCATGTTATAATCACTTATTATCTTTGTAAATGTTCCTTAATATTGCTGTTAGTCCTTTATCTAGGTTTTAGCTCTCCACTATGTCCCACAGGTTCCTTTGGTTCACATTGTCGGTAGGCACACTTGATATCCAGAAATGCCAACCAAAGCTGTCTGTTTTTTTTTTTTTTTTTTTTTTTTTTTTTTTTGCGCTATTTCTATACACTGTGTTAGAGATAATATACTGTCCTCTAACCTTCGATGACCCCTCCAACCTTGATGACCCATCGACATACCCGCCACCAAGCGGTGGAAAAGGCGGCGCATACTAGAAAGGTGTAGTGGCATCAGGCTCCGACGCGCGGCGAGCGTAGAAAGGTCCCGGATGTACGCGCGGCGCTGCAGTCGAGGATCCGACCGGTTCCGAACGTTCCGAAGACCTTCGGCGAGCGGCTTTGGCCCTTTGGCGGTATAGCAGCGCGAAGTGGATCCCGTTCTGAACTGATCTTTACCCCGTGCTTGCTGTTGTTTGTGGCCAATGAAGTGTCATGCCGAATTGGTGCTTAATCGCGCAGCAAATGCAATGCGAGCCGCCCTGGCTGCTCGCTTCATACAGCCTATCCAGAACGTGCTTTAGTGGCGCCCTCTCGAGCCGTAGACACGGAGTGCGGCAGCCGTGAGCGCTTGCTGAGTTCATTACCCCTCTCTAGTTCACGACCACTCAAGCAACCAAGGACGTAATGAAGGAGGTTATTTTTTGCTTGTTTTGTCATTTTAATTTGCCTATAACTTTTAAAATAAAGCGAAATTCGAGAAAAGAAAAGTTTCATTAACTTACTACGTTCAGTGCGCTCAGGTTCGGTGCAAATTAAAAACCAGTAAAAAAGTTCTTCCAGGGCTCCGTTCACAAAATGTTCTGAGCGCACTCGAGAAAATGGCGTCGGGGAAAGTCTTTCCGGTTTATGGGCGGAACCCACTGCTACCAGAGGTTTTGGTAATTTGGGAGGCGATGAATATTTCATCCGCAGTTGCCTTGTCGGATCCCATACGCGATACAGATATTCTCCGATAATATCCTGCACTTTCGGTTGTTATTCGTGCAGCTTATTACTGAACAATGGTGTCCCGATGACCAAGGGATTGCCGTCATTGAATGCGCTAGCTCTAATTAAATCTGGAAGTAAAGAAATGGAGGAAAGCGCGAAGAAAACAAGTGAACTTACTACCACAGAAGCGTCCAAGTGGGGTGACCACCCGTCCCGCGACTCGCGGGACTGTCCTGCATTCAGGGCTCGTGTCCCGCGTCGCGCAAGAAATCCTCATATCTTCAAAATGTCCCGCACTTCATATTGCCACGCTCGTCGGCGAGCGACCGCGCGCGTGGCCGTGTGGTTACCGTGCTTGACTGTCGCGCAGAAAGTCTGGTTTCGATTCCAGTCAGTGGAATGCTCTTTTATTTGTTCTTTCATTGCGTTCTCGTGAGTTCGAGAACATTCTCGTGAGATCGAGTTCCGAATGTTCCAGTCGCCGAACAATCTAGGCCGATTGTTCCAGAACCCTAGGCGCGTACATAAGGGACTCCGCGTGCTGATCTGCAGTCAGTTTTCGCCCAGCGTTCGACTCTGCTGCTACGCCGACTTCGACGCCCGCGACGCTCGGTTATTATCTTTTGTACCCTTTTATTTTTGGCACAAGTTCGCCACATTAAACGTTTATTTCTTTCTCTTTATTTATTGTTTATTGGTCGCCACCCGTTACAATACCTGTAGTAAAATTCACTCTGCAAATCATGACGCTGCCGAACAGAGGGGCACGGGGAAGCGCGGAGGTCGCTGGTAAATCGTGCAAATCACAATGGTACACCATTTTCTATCCAAGCATTGTGAAAAGCAATTGTCGTTCTTGCAGGAGCTCCGACGCGCATACTCTGTTGTGCCTCTTCCTTGGTGGCAAAATATTCTAAGAAAAATTGCTCAGCACAAGTTGCAATATAAAATATTGTAATTATTTTGAAATCGCTGTTTCGCTGAGAAAGGGTTACTGTGGATTTTTGTTTTAGTGAAGGCAGCCATACAAGACAGAAAGCCTGCAACTCGCAACGATCGAAAAAGAATATAATGTTAAAAATTTGCGTAAGACCATGTTGATAAAAGTAAGCGTCAACAGGAAACAATAACCCGAAAAATAATTACTGTTTCTTATTTCCATTTGATGCATTGAGTTCTGTTACAGTCAATTTTTATGTTTTCAACTTCGACACATCCAATAACACATTTGGCATAAAAATATATATAACTGGGAGTGAAAATTTAGCAGGTGTAAAAACAGCACATGATATTAAATGTGTTAACAGAGCCTGGGTTCGTGGTGCGCGTGTTAAGGAATTTATTCTACACCCCCTTGCGTGTCCCGCATTTCGCTAGCAGGAAGGTGGTCACCCTGCGTCCAAGGCGTGAATCCGGGTCTTCCGCTCGTTGTTAGCCAGCAAGGGGAAAGCACCGGTAGCCCTTTCCCCTCTTTCAATAAAACGTTCGTCAGCGGGAGATTGAGGTCACGTGGACCGCAATCTTCCCTCTAAATTTAGTGGGGAAATCGGATTGGTGTTTAGGTCACGTGACATCAATGTCACGTGACCTAAACTCCAATTCAATTTCCCCGCTAAATTTGGCGGAAAACGCACGGACGGGAGGACAAAATTTGGAATTGGGGGTAGCGTTAAAAGGCATTTGACGCTTTAAAAGGAAATGATATAAAATAGAAGAAACTGGGAGATTAGGCGTGGGACCGAAGAACTGCCGAGTTCGCGGGCGAACGGCAGCGCACGCGTACCAGCTCGAGTGGTTCGTGCTGAGGCTTAGCGTGCGGGACAGCGGCCTGACATCGATCGTGCCGGCACTAGACCGCGGAAGCGCGGCCGCCGAAGCAGATACTTTCTTCTCGGCCTAGGATGGCTGACCCGCTTCTGTCAGAATTAGTCGTCACGGTGCACGGAGCACACGACCGCTCGGCGGAAGAGCGTGGCGAGCATTGTTTGGGAACGTGGCCTCCACTCGAGAGCACACTTATTGCACCTCCTTTGTCGGGCACAACACGTGTTTTATGGGCTCTCAACGCCCGCGAACATGTTCCCCGAACAACAGAAACGGAACAACACGAAACTAGGATATCAGTCGGCGAATCGTGAAATGGCGACGTATGAATTTTGGCGCTGACGAGTGTCATAAGCGAATTGGTGGACTCGTGGCGCCATCTTTCCGCGCTGACCCGCGACCGCGCTCTCGCTTGCTCTCGTTGCTGTCGCGGCTTTTGCCGATTTCGCTCAGTGGTCGTGCGGCAGCTGCGGCAGCGCTGACTGGCCTTGCGACTCAGCTGGTCCAACTGTCAACAGGCACTGCCTGGCAATTTAGGCGCTCTTCATTGTCGAAAACCTGCCAGGTTCAGCGTCAAGTTGCTCCGAGAAGGTGAGTGATCGTCACACCAAGGCCCCTCTTCCCTGTTTCGTCCAACGGTTGTTTTCGGAGGCTTTAAACTTTATTCTCGTTCCGATCGCGGCCATAAACCTAGGCCACGCGTAAAAATGATCAAACTGGTTTCGTTTCTGCGTGTCGTTCGGCCACTGACAAAGTGCGGCGACGGAACCGCGGAAGAGATCTCGCCTTGCGGTCGGCACATTCGACCGGTTTGGAGCGACTTTCACCGTTCCTGCAATATGTTCGCTCGTCCGGTGTCCCTTGTTCCACTTTGGCTGCCGTCAGCCACGGGGCCACGGATCGCTGAACGCGGGGAAAAGTTGCTCAAGGTCTTCGCTGCGCCAGCGAGTCTCGATCTTTTGGACGAGCCGGACACGCTCAAGATCCTCGCGCTTCGACGCATCGGGATGCGGCAGCTCGGACGCTTCGGCTCAAGCAAGAGGCATGTTCGCGAGCAACCGAAGAACAATTCGTCGGCAGTTCCGGTATCTCGACGTCGGCATCGCAGTCACACAGTGTGCATCGCAAAACTACCGGGATATTTTTAACGCACGCTTGACGGATGTTCACTTCCTTGTTGTCATACCGTTATGATTGTTAGATGGGAGCTCTAGCCGTGAGCTTTTTTGGCAGTCGCTGCGTTTCCTGCTTTATTTTTGTCTTTTGTTCTCAGTAAGAAAGGCTGGTTTCTCGGGTTTGTCGGCCAAGAGCACCTGGGGTCACTTTTTATGTACGCTAAACTTCCCTGCCTGACGGTAACCTCCAGTTCTTTGACCTGTCGTGGGCACGATATTCGGCTGTTCGTGACGCGGCTGATCGCACGAGGAAGTGTACCTTACGAGAATTCTTCTGATTGCGGGCACCTATTTGAACGGCGGAATATGTTCCGTAAATTAAACGCAACCTCTAGAAAGGAAACAGTTTTTTTTTTTCTTTAGCGCATGCATGTTTTTTCAGATATTAGCGCGACACCTTTTGTATTGTCACTCGATCTCTGGTGTGCTGAGACCTTGTTGGTTTTTTGAGTAGTACAGGTCTGCATGTATCTCACGATGGCCTTCATTTTCGTCCTGTCATCACACTATAATTATAGGCGATAAAGAGACGGGTCAATATTCACTGAGTCACGGGTTTTAGTCTGGAGGCCTTGGCCATTGGAGAAAAAGGAGAAGATTGCATGAGCACCTCGTCAATTACGGTTCACAAAAAAAAACAAAAAAAACGCCAGTATTTGTGGTTTGCCACACCCCGTTGAGTGGTAGGCTAAAAGTTTCTTTTTAAATGTGTTTAATGTGCCGTAGGACGAAGAAGAAAGGGCCTAGGCTGGGATGAGGAAAACGTAAAAGTCGGTTGTTGGTCAGCGGTGTGTTTGTCCAGTCCTTCTCTTCGTGTCCTTGTTTTTCCGTGTTCAGCTGACCTGATTGCCTCGAATATTCACGCTTGGTTTGAGGAGGGATGGGTCAATATCGAACGCAAGGTCAAACAGCTCGGGGTTGAAGCCCAATATTTGAATTGTGTTACATAGAAAATGATAAGTTTCTGCATAACACCTCGTAAACACACAACCGTTTTGCATTCTTTGCAGACAGGTTAATTATAGGTCTAAATCTGACTTCCTATTCGGTGCCCCACTTAAGTGTGCCAGTAATCTTGATCACATGATTTCTTCCAGCTGTCATGGAACAACCAAAAAAATATCACATGTTGGTGCTGGTTGTGTTGCAAGCTCTATGTCTGATTACAGGTCAGTTTGAAGCTGAAGGAAATGCATTGTGTGCGCATTCTTTTATGCTGGTGGCATTGAGACAAACCTTGAGAAAAGGAATGCTCGTGCACCAGACACAAGCAGCGGATACACTTTTCAGGTTAGTGTTGTGGTGGCTATGGGTGTTAACGGAACCCAACTGACCCAGGGACTAATGACATGTGCGTGGTTGGATGCTGAACAACTTTTATTCCAATGATAAGGTGCTTGTATACGAACGTTGGCGTGATACACAGCACCCTCTATATAGAACTGTATGGTCACATCTCTACAAAAACATAAAACCTTAAGCTCCCCACCAACTTTTCAAAGTTAGTAGTTAATAATTTGGCCTTCACTTATCTAATCGAACTCAACATGTCCAAGTAGGTGGCAGGGGCGGTTCCAAGGGGGGGGGCAATGGGGGCACCGTATAGGAAGCGAGATTTAGACCTATAAAACTAACAAAGGATTGCCAAGTCCAGTGCATAAGCCGGGGCAATCGTGAAAAATTTTGGCACATAAATTTGTGGGTGGAAAGCAACTTCTTGCTCAATGTTGCTTGCGCGAGCTTGTGGTTTGATCTCATGATTCCTTTGCTCTTCCGCAAATCAGACACTAGATCAGGGTGTAAGATAGACAGGTGGAGAAACGAGAGCCAAATGACCGACCGGATTGTGTCCCCTTTGGTTTTCTCTTTTTCTGTGGCGCCATCTATGTGGAGCACCGCGAACTCTCACTCCGGGTGGGCGACCGGTGGCGGCCGGCTAAACTGACGGAGATGATTTATCGTGGATTTTCAATAAAGGAATGTCGTGCTCTCTGTTTATTTTGCGCACTCTCCCATAAAGTTCCATGCAAATTCGATTCCAAATTTTTTTCGTCTCGCCGCAGCGCCATGTGTCGCAAATCGGGGGTACCCGCAAGCAGACGAGTACACAATCCGGTCACGGCGCTGTGGTAGGCTTCTGTGGGCCGTTTCCCCACCTGTCTATCTTACGCCCTGCACTAGATTAAGCTACAAGTTGGTGCCATTAGTATTGACAGCATTTAAAACTAACTATAAAACATAGTATGGCTCTATGTTGAGGGTGCGAACGCTGCTAATTTTTCATCTTGCACGGTTAATGACTGAAAGCAGAAACAATTTGTGTTTAGCAGGTTAGGAATGTCGCAGATTTTGTTATGACCGATGTTAAGCGAAAGTAAAAGGATTGTTAAAGGCTTGAGCGTGTTGGTGATCTACATTGACTTAAAACGAAAGAAACACGCAAGAGAACGAAACTGACGACACAGCTGTGTCGTCTGTTTTGTCCTCTTCTGTGTTTCTTTCGTTTTAAGTCTAAAAAGGATTGTTTCATATCTCTTTGAATGAAATCTTGCAACTTATATCCTGTAATTGTTATGTAACAGCAAACAATCAAATTAACTTTTATATGTTACCGAATAAATGTAGCAACCTTTGAACCACATTGTGAACAAGTCTGGTGTTTGGGGTGTACTTGAGCACAAAGAACTGGGTTCCGGAAAAAGTCTCCCCAGAGGAAAAGTCCCGGGAAAATATGTCCCCGGAAAAAAAGGCCTCAGGTGGAAAGTAGGAAAAAATGTCCCCAAGGGGTTCACTATCGCTGGGTTTTCCCCATTCTCATGGCCTTCGGGCGGTCCTGTCATTGTCCGGTCACAAATGACCTGACCCACCCTGAGGTAGAAAGGGAGACTGGAAGTCACACAAAGCAACCAAAGTATTCTATTGTGGGGTATTTTGGACACAGAATTATTGTTTGCCAAAAATAAATTATCTTTTTTTTTTTTTTTTTTTTATTGTAAAATAAACATTTATAACATTTTTAGCCAAAACCAAATTATTGTGTTTGGGGAAATTTAAGAGGCACTTGTGAACCATTTTCAAATAGGTAAAATGTGCGACACTGTTAACACGAACAAGCAATCGCTAGTTTTTTTTTGTTTTTTTTTTTTCTCTTTTTTTTATATAGAAACGAAATGTTGTCATCAAAGTTATTATAGGTACTGAAAGTGGTCATTTGGGGATATAATGCAGATGGGCAAATCTCGTTCCCACTAATACTCCTTCTAAGTAAAATGAAAATGCACCGATGTCGTGTTCGCGCTAACCGTGTCGCAATGTCTACCTCAGGGAATCGTCTATTTCCGCTCATTTGTTGGGGCCACAGGATGCCTTTTTTTCCTAAGAAGATATCACCGGACTGCCCGAAGGCCGTGAGGATCCGGGAAACCCAGACATATAGAATCCTTTGGGAACATTTTTTCCTACTTCGCACCTGGGGCCTTTTTTTGTCGGAAACACAAAGACCGTGGCAGTGCACTTCACACAGCGACGAGGGCTGTTCCCGGAACCAGAACTGACACTTTATAGATAAACCCTACCGGTTAAGAAAAGCCATACATTTCTAGGTGTCATCTTTGACAGCAAACTAACATTTCAGCCCCACATTTTGGACCTTCGAAACACTTGTTTAAAAAGGATGAATATTCTGAAACTTCTTAGTAGCACCACATGGGGATCATCACCAACAATCCCTCCTCAGAATTTACCACTCCCTCATCCGCTCCATTTCGGACTATGGCTCAGTGGTTTACGACTCAGCAAGAAAGTCCGTCTCTCAAAAACTGGATCCCATTGCTCACCAATGCATCCGTCTCTGCATCGGTGCCTTTCATACTACCTCGCTGGTAGAAAGCTTGTACAATCTGGCTAATGAATCTCCCCTGAGCATGCGCTGCGAAAAACTCTCACTCTCATATGGGATAAAGGCGGCTTCACTACCGGAACATGTAGTGTGCGAGAACATCACAAATCCAAAGTACCTTTAACTTTTTCCCAACAAACAACATATAGTTCCTCCGCTCGGCATACGTCTAAAAGCGATGCATGAGAAAGCAGGCATAAATTTTAAAACAGTTTCCAATTCCATCCAGGAGGGGGCCCCATGGGATAACTCTAGAACACTCTTTGACTTTGAAATATAGGAAAGCATCAACCCCACCCATAGTTTACCAACAGGCTTTTAACGAAATGCAAGTCGGGTACAAAGATTTTTTGGAAATATACATCGACGGGTCCGAGAGTAAGGAGAATGTGGGGTTGCATTCACTGCTGGGCTGAAAACTGGTCAGTATAGGCTTCCACGCAGTGTTTCTATTTTTACAGCAGAAGCTTTTGCTATCCTTGAAGTGTCAAAATCTGTGCAGGGCGGACACAATAAAA